TTTAAACTGATTTCCTGCATTTCCACACCATCTAGATTAGTTAGACTGAGGTGCTACCGGTGCTACTGTATGTAAACTAAGAATGTATAAAACTGGTGGAACAGGACTTCAAAGCATGCTGCAAATGCCCTCTTTAGGAGAAACATGCAAGTCCTCTACACACCTCTCTCTGTCTGTCTCTCACAAGGTCACACTCATTTGAAATCGATTATGTACTCCTCTAAAGTGAATATATTCAGATAAGCCCAATAATTCAACACTTATAATCATGAAAGGGTTATGGTTATGGTTAGGGACATCATGAAGTTAATTAGACACATGTCTTATGTTTAATAGGGTTGTAGCTGGTGTGTGCTGTTGCTGAACCTCCTGTGAACAGTGTCTTTTCTCTCAGAGCATTCTCAAACTAGGTCTCTCTCAAACACTAGCTGAACCACTTGGGCTTTTTTATTTTCTTGATTTATAGATTTTATAGATTGTTTCGTTACAGAGTGAGTAACAATGGCAGAAATGCAACAGAACCAGTAAAGTAAAAACATCAATGCAGTAATCCAGGATAAAAATCATGAATGTGCTGCGTTGCTCTGATTAATATCAAATCATAACCAAAAGGTTACGATCCTTTCTGCAACATTGGCTGTAAGGCAAGTCCATTTCTGTTTTCATCACACTCAGCGTCACTTCCAGCTTCTTCTCTGAGGTTTTGAGTGACAGCATCCACAGGTGAGACAGTATCAGTGCATTTTACTTTGAAAATATCCCACCTTTCAGGCAGCAGGCCATGGTTGAACAGGAACAGAGTCAGCGAGGAAAAAACTATGATGGTTATGAGGGTGCAGAGCATGGAGACCGTTCTGACCGGGGACTTTTGGACGTAGATGCCGTTTTCAAACGTGCAACCAGGAAGCTGAAGAACAACAGGAAGACCTACAGCATTCTCACCCAACAAAATCCTGACAGTCACCCCGATGACAAAGCCCATCACAGCACCGTAACCATTTGTCACTTTGACAAAGAGCAGAGAGAACAGGTGGGGGAACATGAGGGTGTACGAGACATCTGCTCCAAGAATCCAGAGGACCAGTGTGCTGTTTGTGAAGAATGTGATGGATGTCCCAACCACACCCACCACCACCACAGTGACCCGTATCACCCACCATATTTCATATTCTGACGCCTGGAGACATGGAGGCAAACGAGAGGAACAAGAGAAGTGGATTCTTTTTATTTGTCCTTTTTGGTTTACACTGAACAGAAAGACACACATCTGTACTCCTTACCTGTTTACGTAAGATGTTCTTGTAGATGTTTGACGTGAAAACAGATGTCGAGGACAAGAGGGAGGAGTCTGTGGATGACATGACAGCGGCAGCCACACCTCCAATCCCAATGACTGAGACGTAAGATGGAGCGAGGTATTTAAGGGTCAGGGGAAGGATCAGACTTTGCTCACCACGTGAATATGGAGATGGAAGGCCATACAGCGTCAAGTTCCAGTCTGACGAGAGACAGAACAGCCACATTTCTGAAACTTTCTTCACCAGAATATTATATCCATACAACACTCAACAGAAACCTTGGCCCTATTCAGTGGTTAAAAGGTTAAAGGTTAAAACAGCTCAGTAACACCTTGCACTTTAACAAGTAAGAGAATCATGGGAAAAAAAATCCATGTAACGTGAGTCAAATTTGTGTATTTTTGATTTTTGATTCTGCCCTTATAGGGAGGAGGAGGAGATCCTGGAGAAATGTTTGGAGCAGAGAAGAGAGGGAGGGGCGGATGGCAGTTTCACGATCCAATGAATTCGTTCGTGGTGTTCAAAGTGATTACATGGTGTTTTTACAGGATTGGCCACTCTGACATTTTTCATTTTTGGTTGTAATCAGCGTGTGAAGAGGATTTCAAGCAATAGAGTGAAAATGCTCCAGGAAAAGATCTCCTTCCCTAAGTGTGTTATTTCCTGCAGCCCGGTGATGCTTCTCTGTGGTTCCTCTCTTTGTGCAAGATACTTAACACAACACAATTATTCTATTGTTCATATGCAAATATTGACTTGTGCAGCGTTCAGAGAAAGGGGAAAAAAAATCCACATTGTGTGTACGACACTAGAGTATCATACTCTCTGTGAATGATCACAAATTCAGTCTCACTAATTTATAAAAGTAACAAATTCTTAGTCCATGAGTATTTTTTTATCAGTGTTCAAAGCCCAAAGATACTTCTGACGAAGAAATTAAATGCCATTCTCAGTGTAATCAGAACAAATACAAAATTAAACCGAACTATCTTTCACCACTTTTTCACACAGAAACACATTTGACTACAAGCATGAGGAATCCTCTCTGTTAACATCAAACTAATAGCATTTGTTTTGCCTGTTCAAAATGACACCATTTACAAATTCTGAGGATTTACAAAGTAAGATTAGGCTCCATGTGATCCAGTGAAAGCTCAGGTGTGTAGGACCCATACTGTGTGAGTCCCCGTGTGTAGCTGTAGAAAAAACCCACGCAGTGACTTGGTAATGTACATATTGCCAAAGGTCACAGTGTGATTGCAGTAAAGGTCTGTCATCTCTGAACTAATACTCACCTGTGGAGGCGGCGACAGCCCCGACCAAGATGGGGGGTATTCCCAGTATGCTAATGATAAGTGCTGCAGCATAGCAGGTAATCTGGGCTGTTTGTGATGAGGAGGAGGAGAGCGTCCTCTGGTGGAAGCTCTGAAATGCAACACTGCCAAGACTCTAGATAAAGAGAGTGGAGGGACAGGAGGAGGACGATGCTTGATGAGGATACACAGCAATATTTTTTCAGATCTTAAGTATTTACAATACGTGTGTATACATCCAATAAATACTAAAAACCACATGATGCATAAGTTTTTTTGTCTCTGTGTGTCAGCTCTGTGCCAGATTGGAGACCTGTCCAACACTCACCCAGTGCCAGCTGGGATTTACTCAATCCCATACAGATACAGTAAATCATATCAGATACATCATAGCCACAGGGCGGATGGATGTTCTGTGTATGAGTCTTGTCCAGCAGACTTCACTAATTCTCTACCTCACTATGCACACAATAATTCACATTTACATCAAACTGAGGAAATCAGGTCAATGCACAACACTGACAGTGATGCATGTAAAAGCATTACCAGGAGGTCTGTCTCTCCAGTGCCTTTGATGCAAGAAAAATACATATACTTAGCTGAAAAAGGTTCAGGGCCAGTAAGTCATGAGATAGAGGATAAATATTAAGCCCACCAGCAATAGAAACTCATCGATCCACTTCCAAACTTTGTCCAGCTCCAGCGTGCCGACCCAGGGCTCTTGAAATGTGTGGTTGAAAGCGGTCTGGGCAATGCTTGGAAAGACGGGCTTGTACAGAAGGAAGGGGATACACACCACCTGAAAACAGATACTGAGATCAGGTTCATACCAAGAGTCCCTTATTTTTTCACATGTCAAACTGAAAATACGTTGTGATTTCCCTCTTTTTTCAACCTCTCAGCTTGTGCTTGTGCTTTTCTTTCAGACTGACAGTTTGTGATTGTTTCTTGAAATATTTTGTTGCCCTTTACATTCAGCAACTTGGCAGTGGACAGACACAGCAAACACAGGGTGACAGCAAGTGCTTATGATCACAAAGGTTCTTAGTTGGAGTCAAACCAGCGTTGCTCCATGGGCCTTTGACACCTACTAAGTAATTGTTTTACTAATGTACCAAAATGAATCTCAAACATTTTGCCTGTCAGTTTCAGCTTGTGAACTTTTCTTCAGCGCATCAGAGCCCCAAAAGAAAATATGGATTTGTTGTGCAGACTTGTTAAAACTGAGAAAAAAGACAGAGCTTACATTCCAAAATACAACGGTTTTATCCTGTTACTTGTAATAGAAAGAAATTTTCCAACCTTGGCCTTTTCTGTGCCACAATAACTATAATGTGGATCTAATGCATTAGGTGCTACTGGATCTTAAAAATGAATGTGTGCTACTAAACAAGATGCTTGAACTCACCAAACTGAGGAAAATTAGACCGAGCTGGATGACGTCAGTGTAGGCCACTGAATAAAGGCCTCCTAACAAAGTGTAGATGATGGCCACTGCTGACGAGACCCAGACAGTATAAGCAAAGGGTAAGTCCAGTATCACGCTCATAGTTGTTCCTGTTGGACAAAACCACAAACACAGATGCACACGTTTAAATGCTTTGACTGCAGCCAATTAATTAAAACGTAAAAAATGTTTTTTACCTGATAGTCAGGTGTGTTTACCTAAGCCAAGCAGAGTGCAGGACACCCACAGCACCTCCATCAGCAGAGCGGGCAGCACCAGAGCACCACTCAGCATACTGCCATACTTTATCTGGAACGGGTCCATCATGGTGATGTACTTCTTTTCCCTCATTGGCTTGACAAAGAAGAGACCACCTTGTGCAATGGAAAGGACGTTATCTATCATTCTTTATCAGATATCAGAATACATTTTTTCTAGATGACCGGTATCTTGCAAAAACAAAGTGGATATGTCTGATGTGTGTCTTACCTATTATGAAAGACACTGAGTACTGTAGAGGCATAAGAGCCCATATCAAGCCCAGCTTGGGAGTGTACACTGCCTCAGCTATACCCAGGATAAAACCACCTCCAACCCACGTAGCTGCAGCGAAATCACACAAACATGCACACAAAAAATAAAACAGTAGGAGGTAGAATATAATTTACAGCAGGACATGGAGAGGTGTGGGTGTGTGTGTGCTGTAGCCCAAATGCTGCTGGTGTGTGTGGATGTGGATAAAACAATGACCCATAGAAGCTGGAGCCAATCCCAGATCACACAGGGTGACGGCGGAGAGTCACCAGTCTGTCAGAGGACCAACATGTAGAGACAGCCTCACACACTCGCAGTCACTCCGACATTCACACACACTCTAGCAGGAAGCAGTAGAACCTGGCCCACACAGGTACAGGGAGAACATGCAAACTCCACACAGAAAGGCCCCAGGCCTGGGGATCGAACCCAGAACCTTCTTGTGAAGAGGGCAGCCTTGCAATGCTAACCACTGCACCACCCTGCCGACCATGTATAATCAATAATGAACAAAACAGTAACGTTTTCGTATCAGAAATGAAGGGATTAACTTATTGTCAAATATTATGATCTTTTATTTACGTCAGCTCGGCGAAGATGAGTTTCACTCACAACAACTCACCAGTCATGGTAAAAATCCCGACCACCATGTTGATATTTCTGTCTCCGAGGAACATCACTTCGATCCTGTTTCCATGGCTGTTCCCCTCTGCCCTTCTGGATTTCCGGGCGGCCCAAATCCCTGTCGCCAGAATAATGATGTAGAAAAACACCACTGCAATCACGCTGGGGATGTCCAGAGCCATGGTGATCAGCCACTATGGATCACTGGATAGAGAACAAATACTGACACTGTATTTACTGAGAGGGGACAAGCACAAAGGTCAGCAACTGAATCAGGAGCCTGAAAAACATGTTTCAATGGCACAACTAGATTTGTCTCATTAATACCTGTAAAGGCAGAGAGTGTGATCTACAAATATTCCTTGATTTGCACACGTGTTTTGCTCCACAAATACCTAATTTGTAACTTGTGTATTTCTACATATATTGTGTATGTGTAAATATATAATTTTCCATTTGTAAAATCAAAAAGCCATTTGTAGTTTGAGAAGTGTGAGTCAGCATTTCTGGATCACCAATCACACACATGCATCGCTTTCCTCAAAGACGTAATTTTGAGACGTTCTTGTCAAAAACACTGACAGGCACACAGACACCACTGAGAGTAAAGGACACTGCCAGCAGGCAAGAGATAGGGAGGAGGAGAGAAAGAAAGCGACCGGGTTGTGTTTTTTATGACACAACACGACAAGACAACTGATTAATCTACAAAAATGAATAAACGACAAAAAAAACATACAATGTTACAAAATCTTATCCACTCAGCATCAGTATCATTAGAGCAGCTGCCTAATACAAAGATATTCATGACAATGTGCAACATTTAGACCAAATCAAGCTGCTACAATGAACAAGAGAAAAAAAAAAACAAGAGTCACTGAAATGAAATAATATTTCTGCCTATTTTAAGGCTCACTCTGCAGAGCAGCCTCAGCATTATGTTGTTTTGATGTTTATCAGTGCTCCTCATCTGCCGTGTCAACACTGGGCATCAAAGCACCAAACCTTCATCCCCCGCGCTCCTCTTGAATCTAGTCTGATAACGTTAGTAGGTCAATACGCCCCCCCAAAAAATAGGCAGGACATCCTGCTAAAAACAAAACAAAATCATGAAAACATGTGGGCACAGAGTACAGCTGCCTGTGCCACTGAACCAAAGCACCAGCACAAGCCCATGTAAAATGACACTTCATACCTAAATATCAGAGTGGAGTTAGAGCTACACTTGGTAGACTGTAGCTGTGACCTGGGATGACCTTGCATATTACCACCTCATCAAGGACGGGCGTTTACAACCTGAATCCTGCTGCCTTACTTCACTGGAAGTGTTTTTGCATGGTTTGGTAAACAGGTAACAATGATCTATACACTAATGACACACTAATGAGAACAGGACAATCAATTAACAAACACTGTGAAACTGGAGAGTTTCATGACTTGTTAGTGCTGTTAGTGTTAAATAAGAGTCTTTTTTTTTTCCTGATCAATCAGCGACTGCATGACTTGAAAAATGTAATGAGCTCAACAACTGAATACATGCTTACCATCAGGAGCAGTACAGAGATGGGTGCAGACTGAGCTCTACAATAAATACATTTACAGACATACACTACTCACACAAAAAGTCAGAGATATTCAACTTTGGAGTGAATTTTATGGAAACTGTGAAAAGATGATGCTACAGTGATATTATATCATGAAAGCAGGGCCCTGAAGTAGAAGTATGGAGAATGTACAGGTGCATTCTGAAATTTCACCCAAAAGCTGAATATCCCTAACTTTTTGTGAGGTCATGACTTACTTTGACATCTGTGCTCTGTTCCATGGTCTGCTCCTCTGAATGTTTGTTGTTGTTCTGTTTTATATCAAGTGCTGTGTTGAGCATGTCACCATGGACAACACACATCTGGGTGTTTCCTAATCAGAAAGCCTGGATGACCAGGTACGTCGAGGCCCTGATCAAGGCCCAACCTGAGGAGAGGCATTCAGCAAGCCAAGGGGAACTGCAGGAGGAAGATTGAGGGTCACCTCACTGGCATCAACCCACGGCAGCTGTGGAAGGGTATCCAGGCCATCACCAACTTCAGAGGCCACAGCCCATCTACCTCCAGCGGCAGTGTTGGGCCAAAAATAAAGGTTGGAAAATAGGCCGGTTGAAATATCCAAATGAACAGAACAAACAGAGCTTGGTATGGCAGACTTTAACCCCCTGAAAGGTGAGGTCAGACCTGAGTCAGATCCGGATCAGACTGAATTTTTTGGTCTCTGTACTCTTCTTTTATCCTTTTGCCAAGTGCGCAACCTCTTATTCAAATTAGGGGGGATTTCCTCCCTGCATTACCTTAAAACTAATATTATTTGTCCATAGATAATGTCATCTTTCTCCTACTGCCCCCTGCCCTCAACAGGTGAGGCCTCCTTTGATTTTAATAATGTCACGTTTTCATGCAGGTGTTCTCTGGCTCTTTCGATGCCACTTGTGTCACGTTTTTCTTACATGTGCAAAGTTTTATATAAGTTTTTCTCTTTTGTACCGGCTCTGTTTTGACTCTCTTATCTCTGAGCCAAACTCAAGTTGTATTTTAAAAAGATTTAAACTGATTAAACTGGATGCTTTGGTGTTTTTGTAAAACATTGCTTTTATCTGACAATTATTTTATAAATTGGCTAATGTATCTGCTTTGGTATTTCTTAATGAGGTGCTGGCACACTTTACCTGTAGTTCTGAAGTTTTTAGGTACTTTATGTAGCTCTGAAGTCTAGGTATTTTCCAGGAGACACACACACACACTCACTCACCCCTCCCTTCTCACTCTCTCTATCTGCGCAGAGCTCAGTTTGTTTTTTTCCACATACACTCACCCCTCCCCTCTCACTCTCTCTACTTTCTCGGAGCTCAGAGCATTTTCCTTTTTTTTACCCAACAGCAGCTGTTGGAGGAGCTAAACAGACAGCTTCTTCACTCACTTTGAGAGTGACAGCTACAACAACACACTGCCCCTCTCCAACACTGATGCACCCTCCCCTCACCAACCACTCTCCCTTCAAGAGCATGAATTGAAAAGGGTGCTACGGGCAGTGAATCCCAGAAAGGCCGCTGGACCTGACGGCGTTCCAGGGATTATAATCAAAGCGAGTGCTAACCAACTGTCAGGTATTTTCACCAAGCTGTTTAACCTCTCCGTGACACATGCCACTGTCCACTCATGTATGAAATCTGCCACAATCATTCCCATTCCCAATTAATCCATCATTGACTCCCTCAGTGACTACAGACCCAGAGCTATGTAAGGATGCTATTTGTGGACTACAGTTCCATCCCAGATATACTAATCAACAATCCCCACACACACACACACACAAACCTGTGCTTGGATAAAAGACTTTCTCACAAACTATCCACAGACCATCAAAACTGGCTCACACCTCTCCTCCACCTGCACACTCAGCACTGGCTGTCCCCAGGGCTGTGTGCTGAGCCCCCTCCTATACTCTCTCTCTGTCCCATCCCATAAACACAATCATATGATTTGCGGATGACACCACCTTTATTGGGCTCATCTCCAATGGAGATGAGTCTGACCACAGGGACGAAGTGGGAAGGCGGTGTTCAGACCTGGTGTTCAGAGAACAACCTCTCCCTGAACATCAAGAAAACAAAAGAGCTGATCATAGATCTCAGGAAAAACAGAGCTGACCCTGTACCTCTTTTCATCAGGGGGGAGAATGTGGAGATCGTCTCCTCCTTCAAGTTCCTGGGCACCCACATCTCAGCCGATCTCTCCTGGACCACCAGCATCACAGCTGTGGTGATAAAGGCACAGCAGTGGCTGTACTTCTTGAGAGTTCTCATGAAAAACAACCTAGAGAGGAGGCTGCTGCTGGCCTTCTACCACTCCTCCGTGGAGAGCATCCTCACATAGCTACTGCCTGTGTGTGTGGTATGCTGGCTCCACGGCAGCTGACAGGAAAACCCTCCAGAGAGTGATCAACGCTGCACAAATAATCATTTGGTTAACAGAATCACATACATAACAACAGACCCCTCACATCCAGCCCATCACCTGTTCGAACTGATGCTCTCCAGGTGGCGCTACAGTTCAATTAAATCACTCACCTCCAGACTCCTAAACAGCTTCTACCCCTGGGCCATATGATCTGCCAACATTTGCTGATCCCCTCCAGCACGCGCATACATGCGTGCCAGCATGCACGCACACACACATACGGTCAGAATATTTTTTTCTGTTTTTCGGACAATATTTTTTTCTGTGTTTAGAGGACATTTGAAACAACAGTCTATGCAAGAGACACATCCATTCCTTTATTGAGAGCTTGATTTAAAGATACCCCGTGAAGTTTACTTTTGGTTATAAAAGAGTCTCATATTAATGTGGATGAATCTACATTACCCACACTTGATTTACTATTTTCTATAAAAAAAATATATATTGTTGTATCTTTGTAGTTATTTTGTTATTATTATTTAGTGGTCGACTCGCCCAGCATTACCTCGGAAAGACAGAGTGATTTACAGCAACCAACTACGCGCATTTTAGATTCAAAACATTACTATTCATTTGCGACCACTTTGCGACCATGCACACGGAGGCTCATGGGAAATGCAGTGTGAAAACACTTCCGTTTTCCGAATCTCCTCGTAGTCACTTTAATGGAAGCAAACATGACCGGCTTGTTTAGTTTAGAAGGATACAGTTTTAACATTGAGTGTATCATCACCCTGTGTGTAACTAATTACATACCTTACCTTTATTGACCTGTACGGTAAATTGAAGATGGGGCATGTAGCTATGTGCGGGCAGGAGTCACCATTGATCCATGGGAGTCAACTGCAGGTTGGAC